TTATTTTTTTTACTCATGCGGTTACCACGAAATGAGAAAAAACTCTTTTAAAACCAAAAAAGTTAGAAATACCTACTTAGTGCTATCTACGGGTGAATTAACGTTGCAAAAAACAAATAAGTGGTGATGATGTACATTGCTCAACAATGGCTAAGGATCACCAGTACCTACTTTCTAAAGATTTACAAATTTTAGGAACAGACCAACCGGGCTAGGCACCACAACAAATTTTATTGATTTATGTGTAAAACTGATAACGTAATGTAGCAAATTCACATTCTGTGAATTTTATTTTTTCACCAGAAACTTACACATAAAATTAATTCCATCCCAAGCAATTGTTGAACAGTGTACCTCAAAAAGAGAAAAAGGTTGTTGCATTTTTTGTACCAAAATGAATGACCTGATAAGAACTATTGCCTTGACTCAGTTTTAAAATTGTGGCATTTCTGGGTGAAATTGAAATTGTATGTATGTTTAGTTTATTTATTGGGTACCTTCAAAGTGTTTTTTTAATTTGCTAAACAAAATGGTATTGTCAGAGAGGCAGCGTATCGAAGTCTTGATATTGTTGGGATGTGGGGATAGAATGCGGAGTCAAAGTGAGGTGTGTACTTTATTTAATGCAAAATATCCGGAAAATCACATTTCCCAGGCTACTGTGAGTAAGACCTTACACAAATTTGAAAAACATGGTACAGTGAAGGACTTGCCCAGAAGTGGCCGGCCACATGTTTTAAACGAAGATCAAAAATTGGACGTTGCCGTATCTCTGCAGGAAAATACCACCCATATAAGGTATGTCTCGTCCAAGAGCTTTTGGAAGATAACTATGACAGGCGTTTGCAATTTTGTGAAGAAATAATGAGGCGATGTGACGAGAATAATGCGTTTCCACTCAACATACTCTTTTCGGACGAATTACATGGAGTAGTTAACAGGCACAACTATCGATTCTGGAGCCAGGAAAACCCACACTGGATATGCGAAGCTCTTACGCAGCGTCCTCAGAAAGTAAATATATGGGCAGGCATCAACAACAGAATATTAGGGTCATACTTTTTTGAGGGAAACCTTACAGCTGCACACTACTTAG